GGGTAGTCTCCCCGAGAACAGATGCAGCGGCAACCTGCTATTCCCTGCAATCATGGATACATATACTATATATTCTAATGCAAAGAGGGAATTCCACATCGACAGTCTGATCATTCACTGTCACCCCGCCTGGCCAGATCGACGCTTGGCACGCGGCCGACTTGGTAACTTGCTGTGTAATATCAGACTACTCTATTAATCTGCCAGAATGAATCATGTCTGTCGTTATTGTACAATGTGCATAGAGTGCGAATGCCCAAGTTTGCTGACTCTAAGGCTAAAGAGTCTCACTGTGTGCATCCATTGTAATGAATATGGCCAAGGCGCGCTGGACTTCGGGCCTCGCAAAATAAATTCCCTCCATCTCTTCACTCTCTGTCTCGATCCACAACGGATTGACAAATTCTCAAAAATGCATTCTGCAGTCGTCCAGATATTCCTGGTCATCCTCTCCCTGCTCTCCCTCTCATCCCAAGATTACCAGACCCCCTTTGTCCTAACTTCCTCTCACCCTACAGTCAAAGCCGCCGACAAACCTCTCAAAATCGCAATTGTCGGTGCTGGCCCCGGTGGTTCATCTGCTTCGTATTACCTTACCAAATTCTTTAATGCAACACTTCTTTCTTCATTTCTTGCATCTGCAAATTACGACAAAAAAGACTTGAATGTTGAAAGCTTGATTCCAAGTGTTGAAATTGACGTGTACGAGAAAAGTGAACGAATTGGTGGAAGGTGTTGGAGTACGAACTTGACTGTCAAGGAGAATGGATTCGAGCAAAATGTGACTGTCGAATTTGGTGCCAGTATTTTCGTTGATGCCAACAAGTATAGCCTCATCTTTCTTGGGACTCATCGTGAAATGACTTCAGATTGAACTATTGTCAACTCTCTTTCTACTATTTTAGAAATCTGGTGGAAGCGGCAAAAGAATTTCGCCTAGACTTGGTTTCTGACATATCAGATAGTATCAATGTGACAGACCATCGACTAGGTATTTGGAATCCCGAAACCAAAGAATTCAATTACGTTTCCTCCTCGAATCGGTGGGTTGATCTGGTGAAAGGATTTTGGAGGTACGGGCTTTCAGGTGAAGTATCCATTCACCATCACGGAATAGATCTGCCGCCTCTGTTAGTTTTTTAGACTTGATGTTAACTGCTGGAAAACAGCTTTCTGGACTTCTAGGCTGACGAAAACAGCTGTCGACAAGTTTCTCAAAATCTATTCGACACCGACTGGCTATACTTCAATTGACTCCATGGTAATGACATCTGACATGTCAGCTTACGTCAACATCAGTGCTTTTGCTTTCTTTGAATCCGAAAAACACATCCGACAAACTTGGATCAAAGAAATCATCGAGACGATTACACGTGTAAATTATGGTCAAAATTTGGACCAGGTTCATCCTTTCGCTGCTTTAGTTGGATTTTGTGAAGGTGATGTTTGGCATATTCGAGGTGGTAATCAAAAGATTTTTGAGGAATTTTTGAAGAGGTCAATATCGAATATTCGATTGAAGACTCAAGTAACTTCTGTGGAAGAAGTCGACGGCGGGAAGTTTAAAGTTGCAACGACTAACGGGGAATCAAAAGAATACGATGTAGTGATATTAGCCACCGGCGAAATTGTATGTCCACTTAACCTTCGTTTTATTTTCAAACATTCTGTTTTCCTGTTCTCAAACTAATTGTAACTTCTAAAACCAATCTGATTTCCAATTTCAAAAACTAGCACAAATCAGACATAAAATTCAACTTTCCCCTCTCCTTTCCGCCAACACCATACCATCATCTTCACGTCACGTACGTTGTAGCCAACATCAATTCTACAACCTTCCCTATCGCTCATACATCACCACCTCCAAACATCTTCACAATGAACACACTCCCATCTTCAGCAGATCCTTTATTCAATTCCATTTCCCAAGTCGCTTACTTTCCCGACCTAAAAAAGTCATTATTCAAAGTATTCTCCTCCCAGAAACTTTCATTTGTGGATTTAAACATTTTATTCTTCAACGTTTCGGCTCCTTCAAGGCAAAACATCTGGACGTATGAATGGGACGCATACCCTAAAATGACACCCGTCAATCCGAATTCCCCACCTGCGTTTCCACCGCTTCAACTCTCTAAAACAAATCCCAATATATTTTACTTGAATTCAATGGAACCTTTTATTTCAACCATGGAGACTGAAACTTTAGTTGCCAAAAATGTAGTAAAAGTGTTATGGGAGCGATTCGTTATTAGGAAACTCGAGAGTGAAATGGAAAATGGAAGCGCAGAATCGGGTCTAGTGGATGAGGAGATATTACGACTGTTTAAGAATTGGATGGGAGAAACCTAGATTTATGGACTATAATGGGGCTGTGTATTGTCTGTTTTCGATGAATGAATGTTTGAATTGATTGTATAAATAGATTGAACGCAGTAAATGTTTGTGTTTCAAGTTTATAGTGTTACCACTCAACTCAAATGACCATGTTATATTAAACTACACAAATCCACGGAGCTACGGCAAAACGCTACATAAGCTCTCACACACTACGACGGGATATAATAATATACAATAATTACACACTATTATCAATTAACTTGGCAATTCTGTTACTTGCCCGCTCTGAAGGTCACGGCGACAATGCAAATTTGTAAAACGGAAACAGATTGAATCAAAGGAAGAAATGTAGAGGGGAGGTGAAGAGATTTTTTCGAATAGCGGGACAAAATGTGACGAGAGGATGCGTAAAGAACGAGATGTACGGCGGGATTCGGCAAGTAAGTTGTTCATGCTCCGTCTGTTTTATATTCATGTGGTTATTCGTTACATTCGTCTACATTCTCGCGCACTATTTCGCTGCTTCCACTACTTTCAGCATTGTCGGCGCTTGTGGAGATATATTCTGTTGCTTTCTCGGTATCTTGTTCATTTGTGTTTGTTTCAGTAGAAGTAGTATCGTTTTCCAAGAGGTCCTTTGACACCCACACGTTCACGTTGGCAGGTGTGATGGTCGAACTGGATGAAGCAGACTCAGAAGCAGACGAAGACTGTGTCACACTGTAACGGTGGGATGGAATAGGATGGGAAGTTGGAATCGGTTGAGTAGAAGCAGGTTCAGAATGTATAACAGACGAGGGGGCGGAAGAAGATGAAGCGGAAGAAGATAAATTGCTGAAGCGAGACGAGAAGGAAATCGGAAATCGGAAAAATGGGGAAGATCGAGACGATGAAGGTGACTGAGCTTGTGATTGGGCGGTTGAAGAGGCAACAGATAATAAGGGAGTCTCTTCGTTATCCTCTGCTTGACTTTCACCTACATTGCTCTGATGCGGTCCAACCTCTTCCGACTGCCCAATACCGACGCCGGCGCCATCTCCATCAGCAGCAATAGTTTCAGCTTCACCACTCTCCAAATCCATTTCACCGTCGGCAACAACCGCTCGGCATACTGGACATACATTCTTTCGTTCCAGCAACCACGTATCTACACATTGAGTGTGGAACATGTGGTGGCAATGTAACACCCTCAGTTCTTCTTCATCTTCAAAATCCTCTAAACAAATGCAGCAGTTTGTCGGTTCGTTATCTTTCACTTTTTCTTTAAAGAACGTTTTCGTTGGCAGAGACAGAATCAATCGAGGTGATGTGGGTGGTTTTTCAGGTCGAAGCCGAATGAAAAGACGGTATAGAGTGTACGTTAGAAGGATTAAAAGTATCGGTGCAATTATCGTGACGAGAAGAATATCCATGAGCGGCCTAAACACAAGTAACACAATTGCAGTTAGTATTTGGAACGATCAATAGAAGCATACTGGTTACGCATTCTTTAGTTGTCTGTACATACCATTCAATGTTATCGTTACCGGTCAACCAAACAATCATATGGTCTTTCAATGGAACTTGATTACAGCGGAACCATAAATCCCTATATTCAAACATGCCGACGAAAAGACTGGGGACCACCACATCGGATGTATCACCGGTAGCGTACATGGTAATCAGGCTATTTCTTTCATTATCGCCCACAATCACAGCCGCTGCACCCGATTGCATCATCGCACGTACTTTATCGACGAATGAACATTCACCTCGTTCGACGAGAGCAATCCATGGAATTGGAGACGGAATAGGTGGTATCGGTGTGTCGGAATCATTTGGGGAGTCTGGGTTAAGGTATTTCGACGGAGGGATGTAATCGTTTTCGAGTAAAGAGGGTGAAACTGGTTCTGTCGAGCTCGGAGGAAACGGATAAACTGAGAATAAATTCTTCGGGATTCTTTCAGCAGGAATGGGCCTGCATCCTTTCTGATTACCAAAATCTATAGTCTCTACTGCAATGAGTTTACCGATAACACCGGTTTCGAAGATTCGTGGGCCAAAGGCAGCCTGCCTAGCACCAAAGGTGTCGTTCGACTTTATGATTGTAATTTTGCCATCTGCAAATCCAGAAAGTTGACATTCAACAGATTGAAAGAGGATAAGAAGAAGCGGCAAGCATATGTATCGGAGAGTGATTCTTTTATGCATTGCTCTATACTGTTATCTTGTACTCATTCGATGGAACAGACTGATTTTTCCCGGAGGATGAGGGAACACTTGCGCCGCACATAAATTTGATCTTATCACGTGACTGCGTGACCAGCAGAACAATTTATCATCGCCGCCTGTTATTTCTGGAAGAACGATGACTGATAGTGAAGAAACACAGTGAAGTGTACTAGATTCAAGCTGTCTAGAAAGCTAATTAGAGGTGCGGTACAAATGTATTGCCACTACTGCAGGGAGATAACTTTGTCTATGCCAATATCTTTGAGGAACCCAAACCGGTTTTGTATCCAACGCTAAAATGCTGGAATGGTATTGATGTTTTCATGTCGAGATAGCAGAGAGAGCCACAGGGATGAAGCCTTGATGAGGTATGAAGCAGTGGAACCTGACGAAACGAGTACTTCACTAAAATTTAATGGAATATATATTTACGATGTTCTCGAAACCTCATCGGGCCCATGGCGCAACGGTAGCGCGTTCGACTCCAGTTCATGGATACATCGAAGGCTGGGCGTTCAAATCGCTCTGGGCTCATGTTTTTTTGCTTTTGCTTCTTGCAATTTTTCTAACGGTGCAATGGGTTTGAAGACTCGGGATTTAGATCCCTTGAGAGGGAAATTTAATTTATATCAGCTTCAACTTCGGCCTAAGCCATAGTCCAATTGGGTGTGAACATTTCCCTTTCTTATATTCCCTGGCTTCCACAGTGAAGCGAAATCCGAAATATTTTGTCTCAGACTCTGCTACAGGAAAGCGGTGCTGTAGATGGTGACGGCTGCTGCGAATAAAGTTATAAATTTATAATTGTCTGTATACTTTATCTCAGGCGCTGGAGTAGACTCCATGCTCAATACATTTTGCGAAAATGGAGACTTATGGGGCGTCAGGGAAACTAAATTAGAAAGAAAACATTTTTTGCTTATGAATCGATATTACAACCAGTCACTGCGACAGTCGGCCAAATTTGAATTTTGGTTGACTGAATTGCCAATTGAACGCTGCCTAAAGTTCTGCGACAAACCAATTTTTATATTTGTCGTAGATAACAGTGTTTTTTGAAGATCAAAAAGAAGAACAGTGTAACAAATGGGTACTCTCATTTTATATTTTTTGGTTCGAATAGGAATCTGTACGTGAGTACAATGCATTCACGAGCCTGCAAGGAATATATAAATAGAATACGTGACACTGATTATTGATAGAAGCTATGACATATTTTTGGTATATTCTACTAGAACTTTATTAAATGTGTTGACTAATAATTTTATTTTGAAAGGGGGAAAATGCTTGAATTGATTACAGTGTCAGGGGCGGTGGCATTAATATATAAATTAGAGGTTGGGGGAATTATGCTTTTCAGTATCATTATTGGGGGACCACATATGAGAAAATGATATTCGTTTTCATACGACGTAATGGATGTATGATTTCAGAATTATTTGATTTCGTCAAGCGTTATATTCGTTCATGGTTGTTCGATTTTGGATCTTCATCCCACGATGTTGCTGTCGCCAGACAGTCGTCAGAGTCCAGGTCTATAACCTCATTCGGAGAATCAAAACCCCACAATAATTCTCTTTTGGCCACATAGAAACCTCGGAACATGTCGATGGATATCTCATGAACGACTGTATCGCTTGTAGAAATTCTTTTATCGTTGTAACCAAGTTGACAGGTCGTAAATAGCAACCCCGCGTATTGTGGCGGAAGAATGTGGAAATTCCCGACTAACGAAGAACGCATTACGTTATTTTACCTACTGATCCGCTAGAGATATAAATAGTTTATATGTCGCTCCAGTTTTGGTAGGGACAAACGACTACATCCATTTGATACCTACATCTTTCAGATGAAATCAGCTGCTGTGGTATTATTGGCGCTCGCCCTGGTTTTCAATGCCCAAGCGTTGAGACTGGATGCTCGAAGAGCTACAGTCAATTGCAAAGATAATTTCAAATCGCACTATGATGCTATTGAAAATATCTATCGCGGTATCATTTATCCGAATAATATTCAGATTATGAGAAGCGCTGCTGTACCTGAGAATACTTTTGCTGACGTAGTACATGGTAATTAAATATATTGCCTACAGTTAGGCTACATGTCAAATACTCATGACTTTCAAATACTCATGACTTTCAATAGGTCGAGTAAATCCACTTGGTGATTTCGATGATGTAAGGGGCACGGTAAGAACAGGTTTTCAGTAGTTCTGGTTTACGCGAGGTGAGCTCATCACAAACTTCCCGGTATTTGATAGTTGGAATATTTCTACGGTTTATCTCCTTCCGCTGGAGACCGCCGTATTACCAATACCTATATCAAATCCTTTGTAAGTTCTTGCAACGTTGCTGCCTCTCAAGTCGATATTGAGTTTACCTACTGGGCAACCAATCGCACGATCAACGTCACTCAACAGGGATTCTGGAGATTTGACGAAGCCAATCATGTTAGTGAATACGATCTCGATTTAATCAATGTAGGTGCATGGTTGGCAGAAGGCAACAGAATTGCTGGTACTACCGATCCTCAAGCAAACTTGCTTTCCCGTGTCAATACTATTTGCCGCGTTGCTGTAAGTGAATCGATTACGTGTTACCTTTTGCTCAGTCTTTATTAATTTATGGGTTTATTCGTAAATTAGCAACGCTTCTGTGTTGGTCCGAACCAACAATACGCATCCATGGATGAGTGCAAGAGCATCTTATTGGCCAAGGATCCCCCAGATGATGACTACATGGATAGAGATACCGTAGCCTGCCGTATTGTCCATGCTCAATTGGTTCCCTTCAATGCTACTTGCCATTGGTAAGTTATTCCGTTGTCCAAGTTATCATTTCACGATTTTTCATTATATATATATTAATTTCGTGCTTGGTGAATAGTCCGCACATCGGTCCCACTGGTGGCGACAGTTGCTTCAACCGCTCATATGACTCTTACTATCTCAATGCTCCATTCAAGCAGGGATTTATCGGTCAGGAGATTAAACCAAACAAAAAAGGCAAAGGCAATTAAGAGAATATGAATGCTTGTTTGATTGATACCCTGCATTTTGATGTCATTCTGAATTGTATTGACTGTTTCAATTACTGTTTATCGAGTTGATGAATGTATTTACCATGTGCATTGTCGGGCTTATTTTCAATAAACTGAAATTAAATTTAAACCCGAGTCTACAATATCTTGCAATGTCGTCAATCAGTCGTTATATCCGAAAAGTACCCGAAATCCAGAAATCGATGATGCATAGGCGGGGGGAGGCACCATCGCTCGCTGTGAAGCTGAATGCAGCAGCCACAAATAGAATGGGGTGCTTCGATTGGATCGAACGGGAATCAGCCATCAGGATTCAGGGAATCAGGCGGGCAATCAGAGTGCAATCAGGCAAGATTCCGAAAGCTGTGAAATTCTGATTGTGAATGGTTGATATCGGTTGGATCATCACCCATGATGGCGTTGACTGTGCTCACAAAGTGAATCAGGATATACTATATATAGAATTGAGTTTTAGGGGGTGAGACAGCGATGAGCAGCGATGAGACGCGGAGAGAGGAACGGGGAGTTGGGAATCGGCCGATGGAAGTCAGCGGAAGGGGAAGGAGGAGCTAGGAGGAGTGATCAGATGCGATCGGGCGAGTGAGAGATCGGCGATTGAATCACGTCACTGATAAGGCTGCCAGAGCTGATAGACTGCTGATAGCGAGTTCAAAGGGATCGACGGGGGATCGGAACTGGATCGGAGGGATGAAGCAGAATGAGTCATAGTGACGGGTGTGAGGGTGGGGCAGATCAGGAATCAGAGACGGCGGAGAGCGTAAGGTTGGGATTGGATCTTGAAGAAGAGAGGGCAGATCTGGGCAGATTGGGTGAACAATGTGCTTAGTCATCCATCATCGGCGTCAAGGAGCGAGCAATCGGGCAATCGGAGAGCGCGATTGTCTGCTGTCCAGACTCCAGAGTGCAGTTCTGTCCAGTTGAATCGCCTGACGCTCCTTGACGCTCGCTGGCTTGCATGCTGAGTTGCCCAACTGCAGTGTATGCGCTCACTATGCGCTCATCCTGATATCAACTGCTTAATTCACTAATAGCCGTTCCCTCCCCCCGCTCTCGCTGTCTCGCCTCGCATTTGTAACACACATCCCACTCCCTACCATCGCATCTTTAGTACCGCCCCCGATCCATTCATTACACATCACTCTAGTCTATACATGCCATCCAGCACCATCGACAACAGTAGCACTAGCAACAATAATACACTTAAATACCCTGACTCACCCTTCCTGCATCTGCCCTCATCTCTGCTCAACCTCCCAACCATGCACATGTCGCAATTCTCCTTCCACTGCTCAGACTCCCTCTGTCCCTCCGCTTCCTCCTCCTCCTCCGCTGCTCCCCACCACTACTCCTCCTTCCTCCACCACAGCCTACCCTCCCTTCCTCACCCACAAAATGACCTCATCCCCTTATCCTACGGTCCGGACAAATCAACCATCCCTGCATGTGAGTGTGATTGCCTACAACCTTGCTTCTCTATCTCTCTCTTGTTCTGGCACAGTCCTAACCCCGCCTTGTTGCTTCTTACAGCCGATTACCTCCCATCCTCTGACATACTCGCCGGTAGAATTAAGGACATGACTGAACACATGTCCTTTTACATGCAAGAATTGGAACCCTGTAAAGACGACACCTCTCCCCAAAAGGAATGGTACCCTGTCAACATAACCTACGAAATACTAAAGTCGAGGCTGAGAAATACGATGGCTCAAATGGACGCATGCCGAACCCAATTGCTACGAAAGTCACATCACACAAACAGAACTCACCATTCTCATCATCAGCAACATTATTATCCTCCACAAAAGTTTTATCATTAGCGAAAACAAAATCTCTACTTGTCCTGTATCGATTGACATAAGCCAGAAATTTCTATTCGTCGCCCACATTTTTCTGATATAACGACGTCCCGGGGTCTGGAGTTTGACACAATTTGAATATGTTTGTTGTCCGACTTGGTTCAGTACCACCAGAGCTTGGGGTTGGGAGTTCCACATTAGAATATTCTATATATTAAAAGCAGCAGGTAGCATGGTGTACATTGTAATTCACGGCGCTCAGTTTAGTGACACGCTTGTACATATTACAATTATCCTTTTCAACTCCTCTATATATAAAACTTTAATAACAGCCAATGTACTGTGGCACTTGACAACAAGTTGGTTCTGAAAATGGTGAAAAAAATATATTTACAATTTATACAGTCCTGTCTGGACGACCTACAACTGCATTTGGCGACACTTCAGTCCATCCATGACTTACACCCGTTTCCATTTCCAATACCTCCCCAGTACCCGTCGGAGCTACCATGTTATGATTTCTATACCCAGAAGAAGTATACTGAGGTCTCTCTTTCACCGAACGTTTAGACAACTGCCACCATCTTTTCTTCTTTGTATCTCCAATTCTGGAGTTCGATAACCGTCTCGCGATACGGTAAAGACCGAAATAACCGAATACGAGAAAAGAGGCCCAAA